CGGTTAGAAACGTGAACGGGTTGGTGGTGACCAGTGGGCAGAGATCCACGACTACGCTTTCTGCGTACAGTTACCCAATCGCCTGGCTGCTCAGGCACTTTTGGAGGACAGCTACGTGGGGGGCCTACTTCAACAGCCTGAAGCCTGGATTCTAACTCTGACACCCTCGCCTCCAAAGCTACAAAAATACTACACTTATTACACATCCCATTATCACTAAAGGAGGCAGAGGAATAACTGAACATCTGACACAGAGAGCAGGAGAGAGGAGAGGAAGAAGGAAGAGTTGGAAAAGAGTCAAGGGAGGGAGAGAGAGAAGCCATAGCAATGCTAAGCTAGCGCTAGCCTAGGCTAGCTACTTCTTGCTATCAGAAATAAAACCGTGTGAAACTGACAAGTGCTCAGTAGAAAAGTGCAGCAGAAGGTGCTATGTTTTAAAGTAGTCAGTTAGAGTTACTTAGATACAGAGATATCACAGAGAAAATAACTTAACTTCAGATGGAGATCCTCTGAACCTTTTTAGACTGTCCTCTACAGAATAGCCTTCATGGGTCATGATGTTCAAGTCACTTTTAGGTCATTAGGCTGCAAACATGATTTATTTATTTACACATAGTCAGAACTGTTTTTAATCCTTGAGGGCAACTCAGTTGTTCCCATATATCAACACATTTAGAAAAAAATTTAAATCATATCAAAAAGCTGGGTTATGTATTTTTACTTGTTTGCTTTTTTCCCCTATTTCTTTAAAAATAGGTAATAAAATGAAAAAAATAAATAAATATGTATATGTATTTATAATATCCATTTTTAGTATTTATAAAACATAAAAATTCTACGTTATTCTGTTAATAATGCAGATAACTTTGTCAGTGTCCATGACGTCCTGTATTTTGGGATGTAACTATAATGGGAAGCTTATTTCTCTTCTCTTTTTCTTGTTCTCTATTTGAACATGAGAAAGAAAAGAACACGTGCCAAGTATTTATTTATCTTTAAAGTAAGGAAATAACAAGAAAGTGAACTTGACAATATTTATGTTCAGACTTCTTAATGCCATCATGCACAGTGAGACAGGTGGTTAAAAAGAACCTGTTGGAGAGCTAGAGCATTTCTAAATTGAGGTTATACTACTGTATAAAGAATGATTTTTAATTTATTGCTTTTAGACATCTTTCTTATCTGTGCTAGAAAGTGTAGAGGGAGTTTTATCTCCATGGTTTGATGTGCTTTTGAAGTTTATTTACGTTCTTAACATTCCCTATATTATTTTTACCTTTTAAAGTACTTTCTCCTGTTTTGAATTGCATTATGTTAGTCGGTGGTTGATTTTTTTTTAAACATAAGCCCTGTGTCCCCCCTTTTTTCTCTTTAAATAAATAGGGCTTTTATGGGATATTCTTAAAAACCTGCTGATTTGTAGTTCGTGTTCCACTCTGCAGAGGCTGTACAGTGGATTTAGGTGTTTCAGAGAAGAGATAAGTCTGAAGAGTACAACATAATAACTCTCAAAGACTGGATTCATGCACCCATAGTAAAATAGCAGATCAGTTAAAATATTAATTTACCAAATTCTCCACTAGATGGCCATCAAAGACCAAACACTGTTTGCTTAGTTTTTCACTGACTAATCCTTCCTTCTGACAATTCCTTTATTCTCACCTGCTTTGCAATTCTTTCCTGTGCTGCTCTCAGTCATTCTTTGCTGAAGTCAAGAGATTCAGTATGGCAGTGAAAATGGTTAGTTTAGTCTTTTGAATTGACTAAAAGTAGCTACAAGCAGTAGATAAAGCACTAAGCATTAATTTATGATTTTAAATGGTAGATTTTAAGCTTCAAAACATTCTTCATGATGGCTGCTGTGGCAACTTTAAGAGTTATTCAACACGTTAAGTAAGTTACATTATGTAAACTGTATTTTACTATGAACATTTCCATGCCTCTCAACAAATCCACATTGATTAAAGCTCATTATCTTCTCTTAAACCTCTTTAAAACTGAACTTGTCTTTCAGGCCAAACTGAATCTATATCTTTTGCTCCATTAAAGGTAGTTCGCAACTTTGGTGACTTAAATAATAACCCCTTAGGTTTTATCATATTGCTTTCTATGGTCAATATCATGCAGTCTATCATCGGCTGCTGACTGTGCTATGAAAACACTGCAGGTCTGGTATTCAAAAAGACTGAAAGAACAAATGTCACCCCTCTCGTTGAGCTCCAAGAGCTGCACTTAAACATCTGCATTAAATGCAAGTCACTAATCCTACAAGGAACTGCTCCCAAAAACACTTCTTTCATGAATAGGCTGACTAAGGATTTTGGCCAGACTCCTGGTAATCATGTCCTGATTCCATAATGGTGGACTGATCAACTAAAGACTTTCAGAATGGTGACAGCTCTGTCCTTCAAGAGACTCCTACCCTACCATCTAACCTGTGCTTCCCTACCATTTTTTAAAGTCGTTGACATAATAACACTTGCCATATCAGGAGATCCATAGGGAAGGATGATTATTGTCCATCCAGTTTCATTTCCTGTAGTTCCACTGGCTTATTTCCAGCTTCTGGTCCAGACACAATGGGAGGTGGAGCCGTGGTTCTTTGGAATGTGACCCCAGTGACTTCCCTCTGACCAAACAACATTCTTATGATCCCTCACTCCCATTAAGCCAAATAAAAAGCTATTAAAATACCTTGAAAAAAGATAATTTCTTGGATACCCTGATAACATTAGCAAACCTTTGGAGACATGCCATGTTGTAAGTTAACCAGTGAAAACCGACCAACCAAGAATTACATATAGACTACCTTGACTTTAAGCACGATTTTTCACCACTGTCGTTCTAAGGCATATTTCATGCAATAAGATGAATCTTCCAAGCATTGTTAATACTGAGGAATGCCATACTCTTTAACATTTAAAGCTTGGGGTTATTTACAATTCCCTCCTAGCCGGGCTTTCAAAAGCAGAATGCAAAATTAAAATATGAATTCCAAACAAAAAACTGAAAAACTTCCTAAATTATGTCAAGGAGAACTATTCTATGACTTTCCCGTGTCATGAAAAGATCAGCAGTGCACACCATGGATGGGTCACAGAGAACAGACAACCATGCACATGAACACACTTAGATCTGGGAAATGTTAGGGGGACCATTTAACCTGAGAGTCAGAATAATTTAGGAGAACCCATGTATGCATGTCGAAAACATACACGTTTCTGCTTGTAGATTAAATCAAAAGTTGTAATCCAGCAATTCTTTGAGGGTTTCAAAGGTTTATTAGAGGAATTTAGTTAACAATCAGCATCATAAAAAGTAATGATCAGATTAGATGTGTGAAGAGGTCTATTGTAACTCTATAGGAGTTCATGATAATCAGTGTTTAAAGATAATTTCACTCTCAACTAATTGCAATTGTTTTAAATACACATTGCGATCTGTATGTATAGGTGTTGTGTTTTACTTTTCTTTTAATTGTGTTTTGTGTTTTTTTAGTTCTGAATTTGTAACTACCTTGCATGCTGCCTCTTGGCCAGATTGTCATTCTAAATTAGAGTTGTTCCCTAAAAATAAATAAATGAAGAAAAAAATAATGAAGCTTTATAACAACAATTTGGGGGACTATATATAATGAAAACTATTATGCATGAATTACACAAATTTAAACAAATTGAAAGACTGGAAAAAGACAGAGTTGGAAAAAAGCCATTCGCAATTTTCTACAACCCATTTGAAAGAAATAGATTTTGTCTAATGAGATAAAGATAGAACTTTTTTATTTGAGGGCTGTGGGTTCCTCACACACGAAAAACTGCTTTGTGGCTGCTCCACGCCCACCTGTACCCATTGAAACACAGAAATCGCATCAGGATGATTTTCAAAAGAATCACGGGGGACTTGGAGATTATAGTAAAAAGAGTGGAGCTGTTCACAGAATGATTCCTATAAAGAAAACTAATAGAAGGTGCTGGTGTCTGTACCGACACCAGCATCAAATTAAAGCCAGCACCTTTATATAAAACTGTTTAGATGAAAGTAGTCATTAGTTAGAATTCTTGAAAAATGAAATTTATAGACACTCTTAATCTCATTGAACTGAAATGTTTCCAAAGAGCTACAAAAACCTCAGAGTAATACAAATTAACCTCAGTTTGTCAAGATTATATTTAGGAAAAGAATAATTATGGGCTGCACGGTGATGCAGTGGGTAGCACAGTTGCCTTGCAACAAGAGGATTCTGTGTTCAATTACTGGCCTGGTGTCTTTCTGCATGTTCTCCCCGTGCAAAAATAGGTTCTCTCCTGGTACTCCAGCTTCCTCCCATAGCCCTAAAACATGACTGTTAGGTAAATGGCTTCTCTAAATTGTCATATGTTTGAGTGTGTTTGTGCATGGTTGTGGGTTTTGTGAGTCTCTGCGTTGTCTTGCAACAGACTGGCGACCTCCCCAGGGTGTTCCAGCTTCTTGCCCATAGACTGCCGGTGATAGGCACCGGCCCCACTGCGACCCTAAAAGGAATATGCGGGAGAAAATGGATGGATAAATGATAATGACTAAAAACAACCCCATTAAAGCTTGTCATTGTTATGTGACATAACTAGGGTTGGACATAATTTCAATCATTTGAAGCACTGAACACACTGGTATTTCCTCCATTAAAATTCTGCCACACATTCATGCGCTACCGCACAGACACTCGATGGAGCTCAGATTCTTCTTTGCTGTTTTTTTGGCAGCTTATTTCATTGAGTGGACTGGTTATTGAAACAAAAAAAAATCACATTATAAATTGAAACAAGTCCAGGAAAACTGCAATGCTTATCCTGGTTCCATTTGAGTTTCGATTCTCCGTGCACACCCCTAGAAACAACGTTGAAACCTTTAGCAGTATGAACACTTTTCCAAAGCACTGTATCACAGTAGATGTTTCTTGATCAATATATCATTTGGCTGCGTTCATATTTATAGATTAACCTCTACTCTTTGTATATCTCTAGGTGATGTCGTTGTGGGAGAGACTGGAGGGCCCAAGACCCATGGGGATTCCTGGCAACGAGGCTGCAACGCTTGGGGTCTCCGTGGTCTCTTTCCTGTGTCATGTGTAAAGGAGCTGAACCTCTCTGGGCGATCGAGGCAGCTATCAGACCGTTCAGCTCAGGCTCATGCTTCAGAGCTCCCATCTTATGCATTAGGCCAGGCCCGGGCTCTTATGAACCTCCATGCGCAGCTCAATGAAGAGCTTGACTTCCGTGAGGGTGACTTGATCATCATCACAGGACTTCCTGAGCCAGGCTGGTTTCAGGGCGAATTAGATGGCCAGAGGGGCATATTTCCTGAAGGGTTTGTTGAACTTCTTGGTCCTCTACGGTCTCCTCAAGTCCCAGACGATGGCCAGTATTTAAATGAAGACACTCACCAGGTAATTTACAAGGATGCTTATGTTGCTGGAGAGGGTACTGAAGAGGAAGTTATGGAAGAGGAGGAGGTTTTTCTTGATAAAGAACAAGAACAACAACAGGAAATTATCGTAGAGGAAGAGCATGAGGAGGAGGAGCATGAGGATGGTCTGTATGGAATTGCGCTATATGAGTTTCGGGCCATAGAGCCCGGTGAATTGGACTTTAATGTGGGAGATCGCATTCGTATTGTTAACACTTTGGAAGACGGTTGGTTGGAAGGAGAACTGCGAGGGCAGCGTGGAATTTTTCCTCATCTTTTCATTAAAATGAAAGAAAATGAACAGAAAACTGTAGAGGAAAGAAATGAAGAAGAGAAAGAGAATGGAGGCACTGAAAAAAACTCGATCCATATAATTTCCAATAGGTCAGAAAATCCATCTGAATTTGCGGTGTATGAGGATCATACTGTTTGGGACTTGGACTACTTTGAGAGGACAGATGAGCAAAGTTTCCTACATGAATATAACAATGCTGCAGCTGAGACTAATACAAAGGAGCAGAATGAAGTGAGCAAAAGACCTCCTTCACAGCCGCATAGACCTGTCCAGCCACCTCACAGGCCTCCTGAGAGACCCAGATCTATCCCTCCGCCAAGGCCTAGACTACCTCCTCGGCTCAGCCTACCTCCACATCGTTCTGGGCAACAGGTTACACCTAAGTCCGATTGGAATCAGGCCGACTATAAAAACAGTAACCGCAGACCATTACAACCAAAACGATCTCAGAGTCTTAATAGCGGTCAGCCTGGTTGGTCAAAAGACAAGATGTATCTCCAAAGAGTGCCAGCAGATATTAACTCCACTAATAATAAAACTCCTTGTCTTGGCCAAACATTGCATGCAACTATAGAAAGTCATAAACAACAAAGACTCACTTGCATTGAGAGTATTAGCGATTCTGACATAAACCAGAGTGCAGTTGGACCCTCAAATTCCAATAAGACTCGAGGTCCTAATGGAATACTCCCGACATCCATCACCTTGGAATCTTTGGAAACATCAGCCTGTGATCTAGAATCTAAGCTTACGCAGCAGCTTTATGAGTTTGAGAAAAGCTTGACTACTTCTTATAGTGACACCAATATGAGTTCTGCTGCTTTTAGAGATACTTCACCCCCAGCTGATCTAAACCAGCAATCCAGAGTCTCCCGGCACTTTTCTATCCTGGGCTACAGCAACGAAAATGACATCATCCAAGGCTCCTCCAGCCTTTCAAACCCTACAACTTCCTCATTGGAAAGACGCAGAACCCTTCGGCCACCCCCTCCCCGTCCTCGAGTCCAGCGGCCACCACCCCCGTCTGGGTACAGACCAACTCGTCCTGCTCCTCGTCCCCCTCCTCGCTCAATGAGACAAAATGCCCCCTATCCACCCTGTGGCCCCAGAACAAACAGCCCCACCTCTTACGCCTTTGACGAAACCGCCACCAATGACCCTGATGAGGTGCAGCCGGACCCCACAGCGGCCCATGAACGCGAAACCCCACAGGATACAGAGCAAAACCTGAACAGAGAGATGGAGGCAGAAAGTGAGAGACAGAAGGACAGGGAGGAAAGCTACCATGTACTCGCACGGCTCCAGGAGGTGGAGCATGATATGGAGGAATATGCTCAGACTGCAGAGGAACTAAGAGTAATGTTGGAGGAGGATGAAGATGAGGCAGCACGAATGCAGACCTTGGAGAATCTGGAGTTCTGCAACTACATGTTGGAGACTCTGGCCTTGGAGCAGCAGCACCTGCAAGGTAAGACTGCATGGTGGTTTAAGAGTAAGGGAAGGATCAGGACATTTTTTAATCAAGTATTTCACTTTCTTTGATTTAAATCCCTTTATGTTGAATTTAAAGCTACAGTGTGTAATAATTACAGGGATATACAGTCAGAAATCTAATATATTATACATAACTATGTTATTTATCATCATCTACGAGCTCAGCCTCTTAACCTTAAAGGAATAGTACACCCAAAACATGATTAGCCTTCATTTTCTACTCACCCCCATGCTGAACAACACTCTGGAGTACTTTTTTGATATCTCAAATGCATCTGGAGATCTGGGAGGCTTCTTGCTGTCTGCTGACATTCAAATAATGGAGGTCTACGGTGCCCGAGACAGAAAGGTCCATAAAAGTCCACAAAAAATGTGTCAATATTCCTCCATACTGCTCGTCCAATGTATTCCAAGTGTCCTGAGTGGGTAGCATCCAGAATTTACTCGAAACGAAGTCATTTAGAATGTTTTTAGAGCATAAACAGTAGTGTATAGGATTTCCTGAAAGCGCGACCAAACCAGATGAAAGTGCGCATTCAGCGTCTGCTCTGCCAATAATGCAAGCGTAGAAGAAGAAATGTGCTGTTTACCTGTGCAAAGAAAGAAACAACGAAAGAAAAATGTCTGAGAACTTCAGTGTTGAGGAAGAGCATGAGTTCTTTGCCGAGCTGAATGCGCACTTTCATCCGGTTTGGTCTGACGCGGTTTCTGTAGCGTCGTGAACGTGCAGGCTCGCGCTTTCAGGAAATCCTATACACCAGATGCCATCTCCAGATGCATTTGAGATAGCAAAAAAATACTCCAGAGTGTTGTTCAGCATGGGGGTGAGTAGAAAATGAAGGCTAATCATGTTTTGGGTGTACTATTCCTTTAATATTTGCGTTGCCTTAGAATTAGTTATTTATAATTACATAGGAGCGGGTCTCGCAGCCATGGAGGCAGACATCTTTGCGCTACGGCAGCGCAGAGCCAACAAACTAGCGATTGCGAGATCGCCCATTACGCTCGAAAGTAACTACGGCAAGTTGAGAGAGATGAACTGAGACGGTACTGAACAATAGATGGCAGTATTATGCCTGAGAATACTATCTGTAAAATTATCTATGTAAACAAACCTCATCATTTGAGAAGGTAGGTGATGCAGACGTCGTGGAAGACATTTTGTCCCGTAACGCTCGCTGTACTGTTGGGGGGGAGAAGAGGTGGGGGGAGATGTTCATGTTGCTGTGGTCTGCAGTCTGGACGTTAGATGTCGCTAAAAATTACACACTGTAGCTTTAAACTTAAAGAAAATACTTGATTGTCAATGCTAAATCGAGTATTTACAACACAAAAATGCAAAAGGGTACACCCTAATCTCACATGTAGATCTATCGGATTTCACATAATGGGATAAATCACTCTGTGCAAATGAAAATGAGTTAAATTTAATTTTAGTTTATGGTATTTTCACTACTACCTGCAGGTGAATTTAGGGTTGTTGAAGGGAAAACTTAATATAGCAATAGAAAGAATCTGGAAATAAGACACTGGTACTTAACAGGTTTCCTCTTCGAGTTATTTTGAGCAAATTCCCTGGTTAGGTACAAAAATGGACAGAAGCTGGCAATGGTCAGAGAATGGTGTCTGTTTTGATCTCTTTTAATAAAAAAATTGTTGAATATACATTTTGGATGCTTCAAATGTTCCTCAGGAATTATCATCTGTGTACAGTGGTTATCAACTAATATATAGTAGAGCATAGGTCTTCAACAGGGGGTCCGCGACCCCTAGGGGTCCACGGAGGTAAATTTTGGCTGATTAGACTTTTATTTTACATTCCGCACTGCAATTTTTTCCACCAATTGAAATGCCTTTAAATACACATTAACAGGAATTCAACACACTGCAGTCAACAGATAAATGGAGGCAGAAGTTGTCTTTCAGTCCTCAATGCACACATTCAGAGACACACAGGAGCTCTTTCAAGCTGGGCACCATTTCATTCACAACACCTGTCCCATCAACCAGGAATCCATATCAGAATCAGAGATACATTAATAATCCCAGGGTGAAATTACTTTCTTTACACGACTCCATATGTAATAGAGTGACTATAGGACCAGTTTGATATCACAATTTGATACAATATATATAATTTGGGGGTCCCTGCTCCATTTTACCACCAGTTTGGGGGTCCTTGGCTTGGAAAATGTTCAAGACCCCTGTAGTAGAATAATGGCTTTATCTGAAAATATAAACATTTGCTGGAGTTATCACTTCTGGATTTATAAAGTGTATCTGCTAAAGTGTTCTGGTTCTATATTATCACAAATTTTCACAAAGTCACGTGTGAAGCTAAGAACTGTTAGCCATCCTCAGTTTAAAAATATCAAAAAGCTCTAAATAATATAATGCCAAGCAATGAAATATAATATGTTATGTTGCCATGCCATGCTTTTCATTTGCGATATTTGGCTTCTTCTTTCTATTTAATGTTTAAAAAAATTTCTGTATGAAAATTTCTCTGTTGGTCTAGATCTTAGTATATTGTTTGACAGGGGAAGGCAAAGTCCGTCCTCAAGTGCCACTGACCTGCAGCTTTGCCATGCATTCCTTCACCCTTGCTGCAACGTACCTGAAACAAAAGACCAAATTACTTGGTAAGTTTAGCAGAGGACTGGTCATTAAATATGTATTTGTTTCAGTTGTTTTGAAGAAGGGATGCATGCAAAAGCTACAGGACAGTGGCACTCGAGGACAAATATTATGGCTCCAATAATGGCTGCAATGATATTGTTTATTGGAGCAGTTTTCACAACCTCTAAAATTAGTGACAGACTAATCCAAATTTTTATTTAGAAATATGTAATAAAACAGTCCTATCTGATAGATTTCATGTCAGTTCCAATGCAATATGGTGCAATTTAAATACAGTTTATAATGCGAAAAAGCAAAAGTTTTTCTATCAAAATAAGCCAAATTGACTGCATTGAGTCATTAGTGTTGGAATAGTAGGTTAAAGTAGTGCGCTTGTGCTCTGAGAAGCGTGCAAGTATCCGGTTCGTTTCCCACAGCCCACCAAACTGGGTTCCTTAGCAAAACCTTTAACCCCACACTGCTCCCCGGGCTCCACAGAATGGAAGCCAACTGCTCGCCAAGGGGATGGGTCAAATACAGAGAATGAATTTCCCTATTGTGGGACAATAAAGGGATTTACTTTTTTATATATATTAACTTTTCAGCAATTCCGTCACCTGAGGCAGCACGGAGTGATGAGGTAGAAACCTCCTACTGAATCCGGATCAGCATGAATGGTCGTCATGCGCAACCAAATACAAGTTAGGGAGGAAAGAGGAAAGAAAAGGCACTTAAAGAAATACTTACTGCAGGAGTAATTTTTTATTTTAAAGAAAAAGTTCAATATAAGTCATTTTTACAGTAACTCTGTTAGTTAGGGGAACACAGCTTAACATTTACACTCCAAACTAGTTGAGCTATTTATTGGTTAGGATGAGGGGACATATTCTCTCTCTGCATGCATGCAGATAAACATGCATTTAGCTGCAGCTGTTGTAATGGCAAAGACACAGCTTCTTTTGAATTGAATCCTTTTTAACTCAATTATCATGAAAACAGTAAGAGTGTAACATTTTCAATTTCACATACATTTCTTGAATTACAAAATAAAGTGTTCTAGGGCTGGGTAAAAAAAAATCAATTTAATCGATTTTGGATCGATTCCTTTACATTTTTGCAAAATCGATGTCTAGAGAATGAGATTAATTAGTTTTATAGTGATGTGTGTGACGTTGACATTCAAATGAGCGGGAAAGATGCACCAAAGATGACTTCAAGCCAGACAGCTGCAAATATAGCCGTTAGGTTGACTGAAGACATTAACAAATGGGGGCTGACCAGCAACCACCCTGTAGTTGTTACAGAAAACGCTGCAAATATGGTTTGTGCATTGAAGATAATGCAGCTCATGCATGTCTGCTGTGTCCCTGCTGTGTCACGTCTGCTTGCTCGAGTGAAGCTTCACTTTTTCATTTTTCACAAACAATTTTGCGCTTTTGAGACAGTTTTGTTCACATCTCAAGTTTAAACTGTCTGATTTACAAGTTTGCGCTTTGTGTTTAATGTGACAGGAAAAATTAAAGTACATGAGTATTTGAAACACAGTTGACCCACTTTCATTATTGTAAAAATAGATCAAATCGAAATTAATCTATTTAGAACTGTATGAATCAAAATCGAATCGATTCAGGACTTTTGCGAATATACCCAGCCCTAAAGTGTTGTTTGGGAGACTGATTTAACTAAATGTATAAATATCGTGGGATGATAAAAATACGTCCTGTCTTTCCAGGTTTACTCACCAACATTGAGCTTTCATAACAAAATACCTTAAAGGCAGGAACTGGTCACGTTAGATAGGAGTGCATTTAATAATCAGTCATACACATACCTCAGATTCCATTCATTTATCTCACCACAAAGATCTTTGTGGCCCTTTTTTTTACCAGAGTAAAACCCATATCCAGTCTCCTGTCTTCTTTGATGTCTTTGCAACCCTGTTAGATGTGGAAATACGTTAAAGATTTTGTTAGGATTTGCAAATTGTGAAGTGTTTGAACTGTTAATTCAGACACAGAAGCTTGGACTCTACAGCTTGCAGCAGGGAAAACAGACTTTGTTTTCCTTTCATATTCAGTGATCACAGGTGTGTACATATCAACAAATCTCCTCTGAGCTTGGTTGGAAAAACTTGTTGCACTACATCCACAATACCTCAGCACACATTCACTTGCATTCAGAGTGATTTTCCGTGCCTTACTGTAATAGGCCAGGGTGTGTTTCTTTCATATGTGACGTCTGAGGTACAATGGATGTGCATTGTCATAAAGCAGAGAGTAACTCAAACTGCACCCTGCCTATCACATACCCTGTAGTTCAAAGTTCTAAAAAGAGCTGAAAGGGTTGGGATAATTT